AGAATGGGGTATGACTTCTTTTCTTAACCAGCATGTGGCTGGGCTGCTGTGACTGGTTAACTCAGGTGGTTAGAGCATGATGCCAAGGAAATCAGGAGGCTGAATGTCATTGCAGGTGGCCTAGATGGTTTAGCTTGGGTCTGTAACCACAGGCTGGACCCCCACCGGACTAACACCTCACAAACATAGACTGTGCCTCACAAGGTAGAACTGGTTAAACAAATAGGAGGAGCTTAGTGCAGTCCTTGCCCACTTCTGACAAATGTGGCCAAGTGCCTGCCGAGTCAGAGCTGCCCCTTGAAATGGGAAGGACAGCACAGGAACCAGGCAACACCCCTGTGGAGACAATCTTGTCATACGGGAGATTTTCTCTTTGCTGCGATCAGTTGAATGAGTCATTTTAGAGGTTGTAACAAACTTGCTGCAGATGGTACAGATGCTTCTCGTGTTGACAGTAGCAAGGGATTTCTTTTTGTATGCAAACTCATGGATTGCTTTTTCATTTTTTTCTATGTCTCATGGAAACATGAAGTATGCATGCAGGGCTACAATGCCCCTCAGAGCACTTTCTTGTGTATTTTTATTGGTTCCATCACTTTCCTGCTCTGCGACTTCACTGCTCTGAATCTTAGTTTACTTATCTATGAAATGGGGAAAATAATTGTACCCACGCAGCAGTCATGCTGGGAGAATCAAATGCAAAAAAATATATGTTTGTATCTTAAGTCTGTTCAGGCTGCTCGAACAAAATACCATAAACAGAGTGGCTTATGAACAAGAGAAATGTATTAATATTTCTTATGGTTCTGGAGGATGGGAAGTCCTAGATCAAGGCACCAGCAGATTTAATGTCTGGTGAGGTCCTGCCTACTGTGTCCTCACATGGTGGAAGAGATGAGGCAGCTCTCTGGAGCCTCTTTTATAAGGGCGCCGATCCCATTCATGAGAGCTTTGCCCTCATGACCTAATCACCTCCCAACAACCCTAGCTCCGAATACCAACACATTGGTGATTAGGTTTAAACAGGAATTTGGGAAGGACACAACCATTCAGATCGCGGCATATATAATCTCCAAGCATGGTGCCAGGCGCATAGCAGGAGCTCAGTAAATCAGTAAGTGGTAGCTCTAAGATTAGTGTGAAAATGGAACAAGGGATTGGGGGAGTTTCTTCTCATGTACTTCCTTGCTTTTGTCAGTTTATATGTTGAAACTGAGAACTACTCCAAAAGATTCTATTTGTACAGCCACAAAATTATTAACTTCTGTGCAGTTTATGCTGGCAGATCCCCAATAGTTCGGAATTAACACCTGGTGTTTAGTGGATTGAAAATAGGTTTTGCTATCATTGTGGATATCCAGAATGGAAAAATGTGGAGAAACATTTAAAAATTAAATGTCTAGTCTGATTACATCTGCTGATGTAGGAAATGGACCTTAGGTTGGCTATATGTAAATACTTTTAAAAATTTTGAAATGAAGTTTAATTCTTGTCTCTCCTATTGCTTACCCAGAGTAGAGTAAATGTTTTTGTTGTTAAACTTAAACCTTGCCTCATCTGATGGCAAGAGTGGTACCTTGAAATCATCTAACAATAGTCTAAGAAGCAGTACTTTTTTTCTTGTCTGAGTCACAGTAGTAGTGGTAAGATAAGTGGAGGGAGGAAATCCTACTGTTCATCCGACCTTCACAGATCCAACTGGAACTAACTGGCTTATTTCTGGACTGAAATAGGTATAAAGAAAGTTCAGCTAATCTGGGACTCGGGCACATACCAGGGACACTAAACAGGCTAGTGAGGCTTGTACAGGGTGCTAGAATATTAGTATCATCATGACTGTGTCATGATTTGACTTTCATTTTGAAAAATTTCATTGAAAATGACTTTGAAAAATGACATACAGCATAAAATGTGCAAATTTGCATTACCTTTTCTTATTTTTTATTTATTTATTTTTTGAGACAGAGTCTCGCTCTGTTGCCTGGGCTAGAGTGCCGTTGCATCAGCCTAGCTCACAGCAACCTCAAACTCCTGGGCTCAAGCGATCCTCCTGCCTCAGCCTCCTGAGTAGCTGGGACTACAGGCATGTGCCACCATGCCTGGCTAATTTTTTCTATATATTTGTAGTTGTCCAGCTAATTTCTTTCTATTTTTTTAGTAGAGACAGGGTCTCGCTCTTGCTCAGGCTGGTCTCGAACTCCTAACCTCAAATGATCCTCCCACCTCGGCCTCCTAGAGTGTTAGGATTACAGGCGTGAGCCACCACACCCAGCCTGCATTACCTTTTAACAGGTTCCAGTGCTTTGCAGACAGAAAGGGGAATTGGATCTCCAGTCTGTCTGTATAAATGAGTGGGGTTAGTTCTAGGCAAATGGCTTATACCGTTATCTACTTTTCCTTGTTCTTCTCACACCCTCTCCACATTGAGAGACTTTCCTTGCTTTCTCCTAGTTGGGCACCAGAGCCCTTAACATCATGGTCTCTAGACTTGGTTTCACACTTCTCATTTCCACTAAGATATAAATGACTGATAATGACTTAAAGTGTTGTGTTCCCTCCAGATATTAATAATATTTCCATTTTCTTAAGCGACCTATCTCAAGTCTCCTACAGAAGAAATTTTGGGGTGGAATTTTCAATATCATTTAATTTGGGGCTTAGGAGGGTGTAGTGTAGTGAAGGGTGTTTGTGGTTATATCAGATCTTCCAACTGCTCTGAAATAATAATCCTTAGGCATTGCCTTCTCTACTAGTTCCCAGAGGCCTCTTCCAACTCCTTCCTGTGTAGTTCCTAGTGCTACAGAATAGGCTTGCAGTGAGAAGAACAATGTCTGTTGATAAATAAACTAGAGTATATTGGGATTTTTTCAAAAGGGAACTGTGTGCAGTCCAGGGACCTTCCCTCAAGCAGATGTAATGACTCTTGCTGATATGCATTTCATTTTCTGGTCAGTTTATTTGTTTTCAAATTCAGTCAAGTACCAGTACAAGTGACTAATACTGGTGTTGCTGTGTATAGGCAGTCAACAACCCTGCATAAGGAACAACTAAAAACAAAAGGGGGAGGTTTTTATCATAGCTTTTGTTCTCATGCTTTCTTCTGCTAATATTTAACTTCTGCTTATTATTGTAGACTCCACCCATCTTTACCATAGTCACCAAATACACTTATCCACATGCACATACATATGTACACTCCCATTAGGAATTATGGACTAAAAACAAGTGAATTTCTTGCTTTGCTATCATTTTGGCATAGATGACATTAACACTTTCCCACTTGATCAGTTCTAAGGGGGACTCAGTAAGTCCAGAATCTCCTGGGATACTAGACACTCTCTCTAGAGTCTATTGTATGTTGTTCATCCAGGCTTTGACAAACTGAAACAAACTCCTGTCAATTTATTCCTGGAAAACTTTGAATTTTATATTGTAGTGTTCAGAAATATATTTAGATCATAGTGTTATTTAATCCTTCAGTAATATTAGCATTACTTTTACTAAGAGTATATCAATTTCTCATTTTTAGATCCAGCTGGGCTCTTCAGTCATTTTAACTTCGAATGTAAAACATTGATTGATTAAATGAATAGTAGAGTTGTGAATCCCAGAACAGGCAGACTTGTGTAGGCTCCCATTTGCATGTATCTTTATTGACCCCCCCAAACTTGAAAAAAATGGTATTATATATTTTCATTCTAGAAACAGATTTTAGGTCTTCAAGAATATGTACAAAAAGAAGATAAAAATTTTGTCTTGATGTGGCTCCCAGAAAATATGCAGATTAAAAATGGAACAAATGGCTCTGCCTGATGGGAAGAAAGACCCTTCAAAATCCTAGGCCCATTACCAATCATGTCCCATATGAAAAGGTACATTTTATTCCCATCACCACATTTGGGGAAAACTGATGCAATCTGTTTTCTTCAGGAGATTTCTAGGCATCCTGAAACAAAATGTTTTTAGAAGGGGCATTTCCATCCAGAAGGTGAGCATCTGGTTACCTATAGATATGTATATCTACATTGTTGGCTGGCAAATTAATAGATTGTGCCTGTGCTTCAGAATACTTCTAGTCCCAAATATGTATTTTTGAGACTAGAAGAAGTCTCAATACATTTTAATACCTTGACTACATCTTAAACTTAACAATTAAATTGTATTTAAAACAAGAACAACTGATTGGTGTCTTCCCTAGAGACAGTAGCCTATCAGAATGATAGTTGAGACTGGCAAAGTGAAATGTTTTATTTATTTAATGTGTTTTTGCTGAGAGTTGAGTAATATCAGGAAGGCCAGAGATCATATCTGGAAAAGTCACCTAATGCCAGGAAGAACCTATAGGCTCAGACATGCAAAGGTTCAAATCCATGAAGATGAACTGAGAGGGGGAAGATGAAGCAGCAGAAACCAGGAACTGAGGCTGGGAGCAAAAGGCAGACCTGGGCAGAAAGTTTGGGCAACTTGGAGTCAGGATCCCAGGCAGGTGGGATCCAGTGGGCAGCAGCAGGGAGGAGGGGGAGCAGAGAGAAAGGCACTTCTGACAGCGCCCCAACTGAGTACAGTGAATAAACTGTGAAGATGAATGTGTGTCAAAAAGGCTCCACCTCCTTTTTTGTGGACTACTGAGGACATTCTGTAGGTGATCGGCATTAATTATAACTTATGCTTATGAGCTTCCTGTAACTGGGCCGATAGTATCAATACGCTCAGGTCAGAAGTGTGGCTCTGAGCATGCATTGTGCATTTCCTGGTGGGCGCTGCCTTCTCAGCTTGGCTCTCATTTCCCATTACCGCTTCTCTCTGACTCACTGATGGCCTGCCACATGTCATTAGGCGGCTCAGCTGCCGCTCTCATTTCTCCCAAAGGTATACTGAGGTTTGTGTCTTGGCTTTTACATTTTTTCTTCTGAGAGCCAGAGGAAGTGGGCCTTTGATAGTTTTGTTCGTTGAGTTGAATACTTACAGTGTCTTACAGTTTCAATTTGCCTTTCTCGTAGGTATTTCATCCTGATGACCTTTATTCAGGGGTCAATTTCTCCAAGGTTCTGAGTACTCTTTTAGCTGTCAACAAAGCGACAGAAGGTAAGCAGGGCTTGTGATTTGTGAGTTCTGGGTGACATTTTTGCATCCATATGTTTCTGATTACTCCAGGAGCCAGCTATGGCCAGGATTGTTTGATTGGTGCAAATTTTCCCACTGCCCCTCAAATAAAGCCCAACAAGCATCAAATGCTTTAATTTTTCAAGGTTTAGCATTTAGACACACTTATGGCCGATGTTCTCCTAATGCATTTAATATAAAGATAAGAACCAAGAAAATATTTCATTCAAAGCTCCTGAGTAGCCAATTGAGTATAAGAAGACAGAAAATAAAAAAGAAAAGACCAGTTCCCTTTTTCATAAAGTTTACAAAATACAGTCGTCACTTCCCTTTCCCCATTAGAGATATATTTTTTCATTGTTTTCCGTATGTCTTGTCCATATAAAGGAATCCTTCGGTAACCTTGCACCAGAAATGAAGCCTTGGATTCGTAGAGAGTGAAAAGAATATCTTTTATTTAAATGTTTAACACTCATTACTATGGAGGTATTAAATATAAATCTTAAGTGTGAAGAAAATGATGATAAACAGAGTATAATTTTACTCCTTCTGTGATACAGTATTTTACCAACAGCAGGGTAGTAATAATCACAGTTAAAATGCTTTGAGCTCTTACCCTGGGTCTAGGCTGTCCTAAGAGCCATCAATGGTTTCATTCAATCTCTGAAACAGCCCTGGGGGGTAGGTATTATTATTATCATTAGGTCCATATTACAGATAAGGAAAGTCAGGCCCACAGTTGCCCAACTAGAAAGTGGCTGACTGGGATTCAAACCCACATCTGACTGACTCCGGAGCCCTTCTGCCCAAACACAGGTCTTGCTGCTCAAACTGTTGGAGAGACGACCGGCTGTGTACCCAGCACTGTCAGGTGCTACAAAGGAAGTGGAAGATATGGTCCCCACTCTTGAGAAAATTACTGTCTATTTAGGGAGACTCAACTTACCCACGTGAAACAATTAGAGAACAAGAGCAGACAATGTAATCAAGTGCCAAATAGGATGGAGCATCTAGGAAGCTATCAAGTAATTATAGTTTTAGTCAAAAGAGCTGTATATAATAGCAATACATGTAAAAATACTTCTCCAAAGTTGTTCTTTTGCTTTTTGGGGAAAAACATGCTTTTGAGCTATTATAAGGCGTATAGCAGAAAGTACAGCTAATTCAAGCAACTATATTTAACACACATGACAACTATCCAGTTCTAGACAGGGAGGATCGTGTAATTCTAACATTATGCCACACAAATTATACGTTCCTTTGCCAAACTCTCCTAGCAAGTTTTACAGTCTCTTCACTTGCCACAGATATTTATAAAAATACAAGGAGGTGAAAGTTAAAACCCACAGCATCAAGGAAATTACTTGGATACTGAGCTTGTCGCCTAGGGAATGTTTGGGCTTTAGACTTTTGCAGTTTATGTCTTTTAAAAATAAATGAAGAGGAAAAGAACCCTTATTTGAATTTGTCAAGAAGCCAACTTCTCTCTTTTGTACACTCTCAGCATACTGAAAACATCCAGCTCAGCCCTGGCCTGATCAAATTTCACGAGGTTTCAAGGAAGAGAAAACTCCTGAGTTTGATTTAAAAAAAAATAAATTGTTCTAGTAGTGAGATCGCATCTTTCCCAGACACACACTCTCTCTCATTCTCATTCTCCACCCCTCCACACACACAGCGGGGAGATTTTACATTATATATGCCACATGTATTGTTACATGTGAGTAAGAAAAGAACCACTGAGTTATGGGCCAAAAAACAAAGAGAGAAATTTGAAATATTTCAACGTAGTAAGAGCCTCAAACAGCTGTTTGGTACCCAATATAGTTCTGCCTTGGATAACAGGGCATGCTATTGCAACTGGTTCACGAGGGAAGAATTGTAGGGAAATGGGTTAAGAGAAAATGTGGTTCTGTCGCTGTTTTTCATTCTACTGGAGAGCAATGGCCAGTAAGGTTAAGAATAAGAAGCTGGTCACCATAAAAGGATGGGGTGGCGGGGAGGGGGCTGAAATACACTTGGCATGCTCATAATGACAGCAGAGGTACAGCCAGGATGCCTTAGATAATGTCCCATGAAAGATAATGTTATGTTGTAGATGTTTTTCTGCCCCGAGTGCTTCCTTTACCATGCCTTTTCCTCTTTTCACAGATCAACTGTCAGAAAGACCATGTGGACGTTCCTCTTCTCTTAGTGCTGCTAATAGTTCTCAGACAAACCCACAGGGAGCAATTTCTAGCACAGCTCCAGGGCTGCAAAGGCAGTCAAAGGCAGTGGTAAGTATAGTCCCCAGTTCCCTCTGTTTGTTTTAAAATCCATAAAATTAGATCGATATCTTAGTTGCATCTCCATATGTGGGGAGACAGCCATCGTGTTTGTTTTGGATGTCACTGAGAAAACCAGTTAGAAACCGAGCACCAATTCAGGCTGGCCTGATGGAACAAATCAAAGGCATGTGGAGTGGAGAGTCGAAAAAATCCAAAAAATTGGGGTGGGAGTCTCAGCTCTGTCTCTTACTAGAATTGGGCCAGTCACTTAACTGAGAATGCTATGCAAATGTAAGTCATTACGGCTACTTCCTGATGGCTGTTTGCTGGGATTTTCCCTATCTGTTGTTTTATTAGGAGAACTAGATGGTGCCTGACACATAGTAGGCAATGAATAAATATCAATTACTATCTTCATCGTTGTCATTTTTATTTTTCTCTTGGCATTCCAATTGAGCAAGATCCAACTTTAAATATCAGTCTGTGATGAACTTCTATATTGGGATCTCGCAGTTGTCTTTGTATTTGGTCTTATTGAGAGCTTTTATTTGGGAGAAAACACCTCATCTTCTGCTTGTTGGGTGGAACCTTTATTCCCTGTAAGCCCCCATGAACTATCACTTCCAAAGCACTTAAATTGGGGTTTTTAACCTTTTTGAGATCACAGATCCCTTCGAGAGGCTGATGAACACTATGGCTCTACATCCCTTGCACCCTCTCAAACTGTATACAGAAGCTCATGTGTATAAACTCATTGGGGCAAAGATTCATTGTGCTTATCAGATTCTCAAAGGGGTCTGTGATCCTCAAAAAGCCCAATTCGTACGTAACAGGTTAGGAACTCCCAACTTAGGTAGCTATGGAGAATTTGATCTTTGCATATGTATAAGTCTTAGACAAATTAAGATATTCGTAGTAATTGGGAGATGAGAGGCAGGTTTTATGAGAGTAGGTTAGTACATCTTGGTCATATTATGTGAGCAATGTGTGCATGTTGGGCAGGGGGAGGTGGAATAGTTTATCACTCTACTTTGTTACTTGGCTTAGTTAAATACATATATTTAGATAATTGATAGAGGGAGAGGGAAATGAAAGCTATGACACCCTCCAAAATACACATTCTCACAAATGCAAAAGTTTGCATAGTTTTGAGGGGTTTGTTAATCTCCCCTGAGACCCATAAATGGGTCTTTAATGGGTTTTTAACTCCTAAGTTAAACTTAGGAGTTAAAAACCTAGGAATGAGTTGGACCTGGGGTTTTATCCTTGGTTACCCCACTTTATTTGCCTAAATCCATATCATTTCTACCTCTGCTTCATTTAGATGAGTGCTTAATCTGATGTGGGTTTTGTTTCTTTAGGAGATGACGGAAAATGGAAGTCACCAGTTGATAGTAAAAGCAAGATTCAACTTTAAGCAGACTAATGAAGATGAACTGTCAGTCTGTAAAGGGGACATCATTTACGTCACTCGAGTTGAAGAAGGAGGCTGGTGGGAAGGCACATTAAATGGGAAAACAGGCTGGTTCCCTAGTAATTATGTCCGAGAAATTAAATCCAGTGGTAAGTGAACCTTTTAAAAGCCTTTTTGCATGTGACTCTTGTACTTTCTTGGTGTTCTTGCTAAAAATCTTGTAGTTTTAATTGGTTAACAGAAACTGGTTATACATATATGTGAATGTCAAAAATAAGACTAGAACAGAACTGGGAAAAAAATCTGTGGTTAGATATTTTGAAACAAAGTTGTATTTAGATTACATAGAGGCAGCAAAAAGCTAAAAAAGCAAAGGAATTCAAAGCTTAGACAACTGTTCCATCTTAGCTATGTCCCTTTATGTCTACTAATTCTAGCTCATGTAATATAGTACATAGTCCTTCCTGCTACTCTAAAACTCACCAAGGCAAAATACAATAATAAGAGAGGCCATGTGCTAACTTCCTTTTTTAGCCCTAAGCCCTTTAAGCAGACGTAAGACTACATGCCTCAGAGATGTGTGGAGAGATAGCAATCATAGGGCTGCAGGAAGCTGTCTGGCCTCTTTGATTCGGAACCAGATTGCTTGCCCTTAACTCATTGCATACTGCTAGCCGCTTGCCCTTTTTCTGCAACAATATCCAGAGAATGAAATCTGATTGCTCTTCAGTAGTCCTTAGAGTTTTTTTCTTGTAACTCACTTGCCCTTTATTATTTAAGAAGGTAAGTTCTGCTTATATTACAAAAAAAACCCCGAATCTTTATACATAAAAATATGTCACAATATAGATAAAAGAGTGTTCAGTCATTCACATCATTACATCTCTTCATTTTGCAAAACTATTTACACCAGGGCTCCTTTGAGTGGTTAGCTCCTCAGTGCATTATTTCTTTTGTTAATGTCTTCATTGCTTCTTTAATGCCTCAAATTGATACAATTAATTAATTAATTAAATTATAGACACACTGTAAATAAAATGAAACGTCACAAAAATATATAGTTGACCCTTGAACAATGTGGGGGTTAGGGGTCCCAAGCCCCTGCACAGTCAAAAATCCTTATATAACTTTTGACTCCCTGAAACTTAACTATTAATCGCCTACTGTGGATCGGCAGCCTTACTGATAACATCAAGTCGATTAAGACATATTTTGTATGTTATGTGCATTATATACTGTATTTGTACAATAAAGTAAGCTGGAGAAAAGAAAATGTTATTAAGAAAATCATAAGGAAGGAAGAGAAAATACATTGACTATTCATTAAATGGAAATGGATCATCATAAAGGTCTTCTGTCTTTGCTGTCTTCACATTGAGTAGGCTGAGGAGGAGGAGGAAAAGGAGGGGTTGGTCTTGCTGTCTCAGGGTGACAGAGCTGGAAGAAAATCTGCTTATAAATGGACCTGTGAAGTCCAAACCCGTGTTATTCAAGGGTTAACTGTAGAATGTAGATAATAAAACTTCCTCTTCCCTTTGCTCCCTCCCCCAGATAACCACTGTTAGGAGCTTTTCCCTAAAGCATTTAAAATAAAATTTAGTTTGCACAGTTTTCTGTGTTCTGTGTTGGGCGAAAAGGGGCCTCTCCTTTAATGTAATATGTTTACAAACAGATTTATGTATGTGGAGACTTCTTAGCATTTTTATTCTTTTATTTTTATTTTCTGTTGTTCAAAACTTATACTTTATTTTTCTTGAGTATTTATGTTTATGCTTTTTGTCACTATCCACACTGGTTATTTTTAAAAAGCCTGAGTCACTTTGTGATTTTAGTCCCAATATAACAATCATCCCCTCACTCTTAGAATTCCTTTGCCTTTGTCACTTTGCCTTTTTAGCATTTTTAATTGCTGGAAATTGAGAATTTTCTTTTGAGCCCTGAAGTATTTTCACAGACCTTGCCTGGAATTTTCTTGGTTTTGATGATTTTCACAGATGATTTTTACCGCTTGCTAAATCTTTCAATTGACATAATTTGGTTGTCAGAATCCCTAAATGATTTTTCAGATTCACTCTAACCTTGTTCCCTGATTCAGTGTCTCCATGTGCAAAACTATAATAAAAGGAGCAGCTCCTGTTGCCTTGTTTGGGAACTCCAAGCATTGTTGAGGAGACATGGGAAGTGGATAGCATGCCCTCACTTTCATGGCCCTCATTATAATGTCCCTCACTGTTTGCCTGGTAGCATAGTCTGGCCACTCCCTTATGGACTTCCCTAGGCTGTTTGTCCTGGTCTTCCCACCCTTCCCTTTAAATTTCTCCTATACTCTCTTTGGTTTAGAACTCAGTTTAGGACTCATGTGGCAAGCTCCAGCTCTGATTTGAGCACTTAGGTAACCCCTAGAAGCATCTAACCCAACTGTCAGGGATAGGTCTGGGTTGCTTGGGTCAGGGAAGCCCTGGAACTAGAAGTACATGCAGCAACATCTCCTGTAGCTTCCTAATTGGCATCCCTACTCCTGTCCTTGTCACTCCTATACTTTAATCTAAACTCAGTAGCCAGAGTGACTGTTTGAAAATGCAACTTGGGCCATGGCCCCCCATCTCAAAAAGAGTAAAGGCCAAGGTCATCACAATAGCCTACAAGGCCCTCTAAGATCTGGCCTCCTGTTGCCCCTCTGGCCTCTTCTCTGACCATACTCCTCCTCTGGCCTCCTCTCCCCCACGTTCATTTCACTGTAGCCACACTAGCTTCTTGGCTGCCTGTGCCAGATAGGCCCCTACCATGCTTGCTGTCCTGTCTGGAACACTCCCTCCAGCTATCAGCATGGCTGGTTTCCTCACCTCCTTCAGGTCCACTCACTTGTTCGCTTTGTGGGGGGGCCTTCCCTGGTCACCCAGGAGAAAATTGAACCCTATCCCCACTGTCTCTAATTCCCCTTCCCTGCTTTATTTTTTTTCTTATCATTTCTTTCCATCTAAACTACAATATACTTATTTATTTCATTTCCTGTCTATATCTTACCATTAGAGTGTAAATACCACAAGGGCAGAGAATTTTTTCTATTTTGTTTATACTCAGTAAATATTTGTAAAATAAATGAATATTGTGTGGTAGGTAATTAAATTCTGTTCAGCTTGTTCATTGAGTACCTCCTAGGCACTCGGGAGTCTATAACAATCTATACCTCATGGACTCTGTCCCCTAGGGTCTTACATACAGTGTGGTAGTCAAGACAGCTTTGTACACAAACAACTGTGACAGTATAGGACAGAGTAAGTAACACACAAAAAGGGCTAGGTAAGATGGTGTTAGAGCAGCGAAGACACAATTTGATCAAAAATAATCTAAAGAGGGGGAAGCACTTGAATTGGGTCTTGAAGAGTGGAAGAAACTTCTGCCTGGTAGAAGAGGGTGAGAAGGAATTTGTAAGGTAAAGCACAGAAGTAGGAAAGCATGGAGTGGGTGGCGGGGTGATTTTGATTGGGAATCAAGCGTATGAAGACAAGAAGTGGGACCTCAAGCTGGAGCTACATTAAGAAGGGCATCAATGTCAAGTTTTAAGCAGAGGATAACGTGATTTAGGAAGATCCTTCTAGTGGTAGTGTGGGGGATGGATTGCAGGGAGGTGGTGGGGATAACCAACAGGATGTAGGGAAACCAGTAGAGGCTACTGCTGAGGTCCAGGCAATCCAGATAGTGGCGTAGACTACTCTGGTGATAGTAGGGAGGAAGTGGATGGATGCAGTAGATATAGTTGAAATAAATTCAGAGAACTTGCCGATGATTAGTTATGCATATAAGGGAAGAGGTGAGGATAACTCCAAGTCTAGAGGTCCCACTTGATGGTGAGCTCCTTAAGGGCATGCACTGCATCCACCTACCCAGCCAGCAAAGGTTTATTTTTTTTTATTTTTTTTGAGACAGAGTCTCACTGCATTGCCCGGGCTAGAGTGAGTGCCATGGCGTCATCCTAGCTCACAGCAACCTCAAACTCCTGGGCTCAAGCGATCCTCCTGCCTCAGCCTCCCAAGCAGCTGGGACTACAGGCACGCACCACCATGCCCGGCTAATTTTTTCTATATATTTTTAGTTGTCCGATTAATTTCTTTCTAATTTTAGTAGAGACGGGGTCTCGCTCTTGCTCAGGCTGGTTTCGAACTCCTGAGCTCGAACAATCTGCCTGCCTCGGCCTCCCAGAGAGTTAGGATTACAGGCGTGAGCCACCGCTCCCGGCCCAAAGGTTTATTTTTTTATGGTTAGGGTATCAGTCTCTGTCCTAGGCACTGGTGCAGCAGAGAAGCACAGGACATGGCTCTGGCCTTCGTGGTGCTCATACTCTAGTGGGGGAAGACAATATTAGAATACACTGTGACAAGTTTAATGATAGAGCTAACTACAAGGTGCTGTGGGGAGGGGTGAGGAGAAGAGGGGCACCTAACTCATCTTGATGGGGAGGTCAAGGGGGACTTATTCATCTTTGTATACTTTGTATATTTTGTATACTTTTCTCCACAGTGCTTAACATGGTGCTTTAGACATAGGAAATGTTCCATATGTGCTGAACTGCATTAACAGAGATGATAGGAAGAGGAGGAGGGTGTGTGTGTGTGTGTGTGTGTGTGCATGTGTTGTGGGGGTGGTTGGTACTGAAGATGATAAATTGTTTTGGACTTGTTGCATGGAGGTAGAGCGAGTCATAGATCTGAAGATTTCCAGCAAGTAGCTGGTAGTTATGGATAATAGAGCGCACGAGAGAGATAAGAGCTGGAGATGACACAACTGACAGTATAAGGTAGTGGATGATGAAGTGTAAAATCTACAGTAGATTATCAGTGTTCATAGGCAGAGAATGTATTATGGCTAAAGAGGTTAGAGGAGGCTTCATGGAGGATACAGATAGGGTTTGAGTTGAACACTGAAAGACAATTGTGGGGACAGGCCCAGAAGAGAGGCAGAGACAATCTAAGGCATAGTCATTGGTCAAAGAAAACAAAAACCACGAAGATTCTGTGATGGGACTGAGCAGAGTGAGCTTGGAGGAAAGTGGAAGAGATTAGCTTGGTGTAATAAAAATGTCTTGCTGGGGAAGCAGGTGCTCAAATAAGTCTTTGTTGATTTGAATTCTTTCCCACCCCAACTCTTGCTT